CCCATTCTCTACTCAGGCCAGTGTCTCCATCATCCAAAGCTTGTGCCAGATCGGTCTCTTATCCTTGCTGTTCTCCTTGCCTGGAACCCCCTCTATCTACCATGGCAGAATACCACAGTGGCTCAGTGTGAAAAACTCTCCCATGTACTAGCTGCATGGCCATAGGCAAATGAATTCCACCCTCTGAGCCTCAGTTTCCTCATCTAAAATATGGGCATAACACTTCCATCATATGGTTATTGAGAGGTAATCCATACCCAGTGCCTGGCACCTACAAGAGCTCAACAGATGATACTGTTTTTGTTTTTGTTGCAAAGATGGAACCATAATCATCTGTTCCCACCTTCACAGTAATTTCTGTTTTCCCACCTTCCTCTGTACTTGTGGTTGGGAATTTGTAGTACTTAAATATTCTTATTTCTCTGTGTTATTCTCCCTCAAATAAACTGCAAAGTAAAGTAGGGCATAGATTGTGTCTTATGTCAACACAGGAGCCTACAGGAGGCAGACAGGGAACAGAAAATAGATTGGGTGTAAGAATAATAGTGAGGAGGGAGGACTCTGGCCAACCCCAGGGTACATGTAACTCTGGCCAATTGTTGTCATGCGGGAATATGGGCCGAGTGCTGCCAGAGCTCAGCCTTTTCAAAAGAAGCCAGAAATCCAGCTTCTTATGTGAAATGTCCTGAATTTTAAAAGTTGGGCCAACACTGTTCAGGCCAAACAAAGAATGTTTGTGAGACCCCACTTTGTGAAAGCTGCATTTTTCAGTTGATCTCCATGAGTTTGTGCAGAAGCTGGTTGTTTGGACCTTTGAACTTCACTTTTCCAGGGAGACGATACTGTGAATGGCATTGGCAGGCGGGTTCTTTATCACTAGTGCCACCTCAGAAGCCCCTTTATCCACTGTCCACCATTCATCAGTTCTCCAAGTACAAACAAGGACCATCCTGTGCACCACGGCATCCCCCGCACCTGGTGGGTGATAAGAGATCAATAAATATTTGCTGAAGAAATGTGTGACTGAAACAATCTATCCAGCAAACATTTACTGAGCACCTGCTGTGTACCCAGAAGTCTGCTGGACTTTAAAAATGCAGAAGTGAATCAGACACCACCCCAGCCTCAAGGAATTAGGTTGCCTAGAAGGGATTGCATCAACTATTTCCTGGAACACTTCTAAAAATTGTCAGGCATTACTCAGCGTTCCCCTTCCCGGAAGAAGGGGGAGTGGGTGAGATGGATGACCTGGGACCGGTCGGTCAGCACAGGCGTCTTCACTTGTCCACGCGTCCCTCGGGTTGTTTGGCTGTCTGCGTCATCCACGCACTTGGAATATGAAATGATTGAACTGATTTTTCTCTCAACCACATGTTGCAATGAGCCAAAGGACCACTGCCCTTTCAAGTGGGCACCTTGGGAGGCCGTGTCCTCATTCCTCTTCAGTTACGACAGCGCTGAACCACTTCTTTGGCAAGTGCCCTCAGAGAAAGTTAGAAGCCACTTGAGGACATTTGTTTCATTGCTTTAGCATCATGCCTTATTTCTGACCCCCTAGAAAAAATCACTGGGAGAAAAGGGTATTCCAGTCACTTAAGCCCTCAAACTTGGTTCCAAGTGACTTGGGATTGTTTCCTAAAATTCAATTCACCATCAAAGGAGAAATATTTTCTGTTGGTGAGTTTATTGAACAGTGTGTGCCTCATGCTCTGATGGCAGCTGGGCTCAAAGAGAAGTCCCCAAATGTCATGTGCCCCAGCAGTTTTGTTGAAAAAGAGGTTTAACCTTCCAGTGTGTCCATGACAAAGGAGGCTGATTCTTTTGGATGCTTACATTCTTGTTTTATTTCAATAGTGAAAACTTTTATATTTAGACGTAGCCAACTGGACTCAGTTTAGATGATCCCAATTTTGTTGGCAATATCCAAAGCATCATAGTCAGGAGCTGGTCGAATATATGCCTTTTCCTCTCCATCAGGTCTGATCAGGGTGTGACCTTAGTCACATAAATGTCATAGAGCTTCTTCACAGGCTGTTTTTATTTTTATTTTTTAACTTTTTATTTTGTACTGAAAAGTGAAAGTGTTAGTCACTCAGTAGTATCTGACTCTCTGCAACCCCATGGACTGTAGCCTGCCAGGCTCCTCTGTCTATGGGATTCTCCAGGCAAGAATACTGGAGTGGGTTGCCATTCCCTTCTCCAGGGGATCTTCCCGCCCCAGGGGTTGAACCTGGGTGTCCCACATTGCAGGCAGATTCTTTACCTTCTGAGTCATGAGGAAAGCCCCATCTGGGAATGAATAGCAAATTAACAATGTTGTGATAGTTTCTGGTGAAAGTGAAGGGACTCAGCCATACATATACTTGTATCCATTCTTCTCCCAAAGAAAGGCAATGCCAACAAATGTTCAAACTACCACATTAATGCTCAAAATTCTCCAAGCGAGGCTTCAACAGCACATGAACCGAGAATATCCAGATGTTCAACTTGGACTTAGAAAAGGCAGAGGAATCAGAGATCAAATTGCCAACATCTGTTGGATCATAGATAAAGCAAGAGAGTTTCAGAAAAACATCTATTTCTGCTTTATTGACTACACCAAAGCCTTTGACTGTGTGGATCACAACAAACTGTGGAAAATTCTGAAAGAGATGGGAATACCAGACCACCTTATCTACCTGCCTCCTGAGAAATCTGTATGCAAGTCAAGAATGAACAGTTAGAACCAGACATGGAACAACAGACTGGTTCCAAATTGGGAGAAGTATATCAAGGCTGTATATTGTCACCTTGCTTATTTAACTTATATGCAGAGTACATCATGCAAAATGCCAGGCTGGATGAAACACAAGCTGGAATCAAGATTTCAGGGAGAAATATCAATAACATCAGATATGCAGATGACACCATCCTTATGGCAATAAGCAAAGAGGAACTAAATAGCCTTTTGATGAAAGTGAAAGAGGAGAGTGAAAAAGCTAACTAAAACTTCAACATTCAAAAGACGAAGATCATGGCATCTGGTCCCATCACTTCATGGCAAATAGATGGGAAGTAATGGGAACAGTGAGAGACTTTATTTTCTTGGGCTCCAAAATCACTGCAGATGGTGATTGCAGCCATGAAATTAAAAGACGCTTGCTCCTTGGAAGAAAAGCTATGACTAACCCAGACAGCATATTAAAATCAGAGACATTATTTTGCCAACAGAGGTCCATATAGTCAAAGCTATGGTTTTTCTAGTAGTCATGTATGGATGTAAGAGTTGGACCATAAAGAAAGCTGAGTGCTGAAGAATGGATGCTTTTGAGCTGTGGTGTTGGAGAAGACTCTTGAGAGTCCCTTGGACTCCTCCCTTGGAGGAGATCCAACCAGTCCATCCTAAAGGAAATCAGTCCTGAGTATTCACTGGAAGGACTGAAGCTCAAGCTGAAGCTCCAACACTGTGACCACCTGATGTGAAGAACTGACTCACTGGAAAAGGCCCTGATGCTGGCAAGATTGAAGGCAGGAGGAGAAGGGAATGACAGAGGATGAGATTGTTGGATGGCATCACCGACTCAATGGACATGAGTTTGTCGGAAGCTCCAGGAACTGGTGATGGACAGGGAAGCCTGGCATCCTGCAGTCCATGTGGTCGCAGAGTAGGACATGATTTAGGACTAAACTGGACTGAACTGATTCTCCTCCAAACTCCCCTCCCATCCAGGCTGCCACATAACACTGAGTAAAGTTTCCTGTGCTACATAGTAGGTCCTTGTTTATCCATTTTAAATATAGCAGTGTGTACATGTCCATCCCAGACTCCCTAACTATTCCTATCCCTCATCCTTCCTGCTGGCAACCATAAACTTATTCTTAAAGTCTTCACAGCCTGTTTAATTTTTTGCTGGTTGGTCTTGACATTCACAGTGAACACCAATGCGCTGTTGTCTTCTGTTTTCTTCATGGTTGACTTAGTGAGGGGGAACTTGATGACTGGATGTCTATGTTTTGGTGTTTCGGTTAAAGAGGGGAAAAAAAAACCTGTCTCGTTTACTCTTATGTCCCCAGTATCTAGCACAAATTCTGGACATGTGAGTGTTCAAAAATGTTTTATGGAGAGGGAGAGTGGATGATGATGAAGTCCAACACCTACTAAGTGGTCACCACATGCCAAGCCCATGCTGGTTTTTGTCACACGTTACATCTGATCAACAATCAGAGGTAACAGTCCGGCAGTTACAGTTGACACCTCCAGAAAGCAACTGAGGGCTGAGGTGAAATAACTTGCCCAAGGTCACCAAGCCAGCAAGCGCCAAAGCTGGAATTTGAACCCAGGTGGAAATTCTCTGGGTTTCCTTGGTGGCTCAGACAGTAAGGAATCTGCCCACAGAGTGGTACCCTGAACCCCTAACCCATAGTCATTAAGAAGGTAATGGCTATGGAATCATATGATGTAACCTCAGTGCAGCAGGGAAGGTGAGCCTAAAGCAAACAAGCAGTTTAGCCCCCTGCCCTGGTCATAAAACCTCCCTCAGTGAGCAGGTCAGAGCCTCTCGAGCTTCCCAGCCTGTCACAGGGTGTTTGTTTTCCCTGGCTGTCTCACTCTGCTGCTCTCATTAGCCAAGAAGCTCCAAGATTTTGACACCTATTAGAGACGGCTACCCAGTGGGTAGCTTGGGTAAAGGGCAGGGGGCACCTGCAAGATTCTGTATCATTGCTTGGAGTTGGGGGGAACCTGATTCACCCAGAATGCGGTCAGGTCAGTGAGCCCGCAGAGGAAAGGGATTAGGAGTTTGCGTTGGGAAGGTGACCTGAGCTAGTACCCAAAGCGGCCAGGAGTCTGATCCTGCCAGCTCCGTGCCCGACCTTAGGCAGGTTGCTTTTTCTTCCTGGGTCTCAGTGTTTCCCATCTGTAGTAGAAGGGTTATTTCTCAGGCCTGCCCAGCTCTGGAGAAAGACTAGAAAGAACAGGTCCTTCTTGCTTGGGTTCTCTCATCAAGCTTTTATTTCCCCAGGCTGGAGGAGAACTACGAGATTGCAGAAGGAGTGTGCATCCCCCGCAGCGCCCTCTATATGCATTACCTGGATTTCTGTGAGAAGAATGATACCCAGCCTGTTAATGCTGCCAGCTTTGGGAAGGTGAGTCCAGCCTCACCCACTTTATTCCTTTTCTTCCCCTTCTCAGTAACGGATACGTAGTTCTTAACCATGTTTTAAATAATTCAATTTTTTTTTAGGTTACCAAAGTAAATACTTTGGTTACTTTGCCATTAAAATGTCAAACAATTGTTAACAAAGTGGTACCAAACCAAATGCCAAAGCAGAATAATACCAAAGATTAAAGTTTTCAAAGAATTCAGACATGTTGTAAAATAAAAGTGAATGTCTACCTTGAGTTTCCTCAGTACTTAATTTGCAAACAGTAACTTCTTTTCTCTGAGAGGTAGTTCTTGAACTGGAAAGTATGTTGTGTGGATGTCAGTGGGACAGGCTTGGGTTAGCAATGCGAGAGACTTGGAGAAACTGTGAAGGGGCCTTGCATCATGAGCGTGGAAGTCTGGGAGTCCTCAGCTGGAGGTAGAGCTATTTGTACCATCACTGCAACCCTGACTGTTCTCTGTCCACTAATGATGAAAATACATTCCACACGTTTTCTGTAGTTATCTCTACAGAAAATCATTACCACTGAACGTTCATATTCAGCAGGCCAAGGCAGGCAGCTGGAACTTTCTTTAAGATTCACTTCATTGTACAGCAGAAACTAACACAACACTAAAAAACAATTGTAAAAAAAAAATTAATAAAAAAAAACAGTTGTATTCCAATGGGGAAAAAACTCATCATGTTTATTTGATAGATTAAAACCTAGATATTTTACATCCTGAAAGCACTCAATTTGAGTCAATACGTCTAAACTCTTTCTCCTTTTATTAGCTTCTTTTTTTACTATGTATAATTTTTTTCTGCATCTGCCAACAAAAAACAGGCAGTCTTGTCCTGCACCATCATTCCTTACCAGTGTTCTGAGTGTGAGTGTAGTGGACTGAAACAACAAGATGTTTAAGTTTCAGAAATTTCCTTTTCAGATCCCCAACAGATATATCATGAGCAAGGAAAAAAAAAAAACAAAAAATAGAACAATGTTAGGCCTGAAGCTACCAACTGGAGAGTCTGAAACCAAGTGCCTGAGAACTTGCTTCACTCAAAAAATGTGAAGATGCTCGGTGGTGATTTAGGGAGGGAAAAATGTGTGATGGATTAATGCTGGTTCTCCAAAGTGAAAAGAACTTTTTTTTAAAAAAGTCAATGAAGGAACAACTTTTGCCCATTCATTTATTCATTGGGCAGTATTGACTGAGACACGCTGTGTGGCAAGCATTATGGCAGGCAGTGGACTTAAAGGGAACCTGATCTGGGTCCCCCTGTGGAAAGGTTACCAGTCCAAGGAGGGGGACTGTGAGCCCTCTGCAGTGGGAGAAGGAAGAATCCAGACGGAGAGCATTCCTGTTCTGTGGTCCTGCAACATTCTCTCGGATTCACACATGTCCTGGCAGAGACTGCGATGGGGAGTCCAGATAAAGCCTCTCAGATAGGAAGACAGGTTGGATGAACCAAACGACCAAGAATCCCAGCTCTCCTGGACTTATCACATAACCTTTCTGAGCCTCAGTCCTGTCAGCTCTGAAATGGGAATTAACCCCTGAATTCTTCCCAGGGATGTTGCAAGATACACAGGAGAGAATGGCGGTGGCTGATATAACCTACTGTGGTCTCAGTCATCTAGTTGCTCAGATATTTAGTAACACCTACCATGTGTATTACAACTGTTGTTCTTATGAATTCTCCATGAGCTACTTGTGGACAGATGCAAGCAGCCACTGGTTAGCTTAGGTTCTGAAACAAAAACAAACCAAAAAAATTCACCATTTCTAGAAACTCCAATTTGCCTGTATAAGGACCTTCTATCCCCTTTTCTCTCAAATGCTTTTGTAACTCTGTTGTCAGCTCAGGGTTTCCTTGACCTTGTGATCTAGGTAAAATCAATTTATCTCTGACCTCTTCCTCCTAGCACCTCCTAGACCACCTCCACCTAGCATTCCAAGTCTTAAATGTGCCCCCAGGATTTCAACAAGTTCTAGGGTGTTTGCATCCTTCAGTTCAGTTTAGTTCAGTCACTCAGTCGTGTCTGACTCTTCGCGACCCCATGGACCCCAGCATGCCAGGCCTCCCTGTCCATCACTAACTCCCGGAGTTTACGCAAACTCACCTCCATTCAGTCGGTAATGCCATCCAACCATCTCATCCTCTGTTGTCCCCTTCTCCTCCTGCCTTCAGTTTTTCCCAGCATCAGGGTCTTTTCAAATGAGTCAGTTCTTCCCATCAGGTGGTCAAAGTATTGGAGTTTCAGCTTCAGCATCAGTCCTTTCAATGAATATTCAGGACTGATTTCCTTTAGGATGGACTGATTGGATCTCCTTGCAGTCCAAGGGACTCTCAAGAGTCTTCAACACCACAGTTCAAAAGCATCAATTCTTTGGCACTCAGCTTTCTTTATAGTCCAGCTCTCTCATCCATACATGACTACTGGAAAAACCATAACTTTGGCTATATGCACCTTTGAGGGCAAAGTAATGTCTCTGCTTTTTAATCTGCTCTCTAGGTTGGTCATAACTTCCTTCCAAGGATCTTTGGCATAGTCAATAAAGCAGAAGTAGATGTTTTTCTGGAACTCTCTTGCTCTTTCTATGATCCATTGGATATTAGCAATTTGATCGCTGGTTTCTCTGCCTTTTCTAAAACCAGCTTGAACATCTGGAAGTTCACAGTTCACGTATTGCTGAAGCCTGGCTTGGAGAATTTTGAGCATTACTTTACTAGCGTGTGAGATGAGTGCAGTTGTGCGGTAGTTTGAGCATTCTTTAGGGTCACCGTGACTTGGGACTCCTCCCTCTATATATATCACTTCTCTCTACACCTGTGCTCTTCAGTACAGTAGCCACTGGCCACATACAGTTGTTTATCTTAAAGTTAAAATTCAGTTCCTCAGATACACAGTAGTCACATATAACTGGAGGCTACCATATTGGACAGTGCCAATAGAACATTCCCATCTGCACAGCAAGTTCTGTTGGACAGCCCTATTCTGTACCATCATGAGCTAGGGATGGCACTCAGGGTCTCCTTTGCTTTGCACAAAGCAGTCCACAGAAAGCATCTGTGATCCTAACAGACTGAAGTTTGCAGTGGTGGTTTACACCCCAAACATTGTCCCATGGAACAGCTGTCCCCATCTCAGAATACTCCCTGCTCCTCCTCCTGCCAGTTCCCCAAAGCTGATCCCAGCCCTCTCTGCTGCTGCATCCTCCCTCCTAGAACTCCTCCTTCTGTTCCCTTCACTCTCTCCTTCTTTCTTGGGATGACCTCCACCAAATTTCCTCTGCTCTCCAATCCTTAGTTCCTGCTGACATCTATACCCACAGTTCTCATTTATTCCAAATGGCTTTTCAAAGTATTTTTCCAGTAGTGAGTTTCCTCTCTAAGAATTATAGTGCCAGCTGCTTTCAGAATAGTCATTTAAAAAAGCATCCAAATGCCATCTTCTCTTCAGTCCCAAAGCAGGGAAATACTCGAATAGAATTAAAAGCATAGATGAAAAACGCTCTCTGCAGCTGCCTTGCCATCGATTTCAAGTGCAGTGGGAAGGAGGGCTGTCCTTCCAGCCACAGAGGACAGAGGTGCCTGCTGAGGGTTTTTGCATTAAGTTTCTTGAATTGAAATCCCAGACACATTTGCCCTTCCTGAAGGCTCCGAGCAAGCTGCAGCTGCCATCTCCTAGAGAGAAAGGGACTAGTTGTTCTGAAAATCCTTGGAGGGGAATCGTGGACAGTCTTCCTTTGAGCAGTTCTGTCCGAATGTATGATTCATCTCTGAACTTTTAGCTCAGAACAAGCAAAATTCACTATTTCGGCTTAGGTTTTATTTTTTATTTATCTTTTTTCTCGGCTTAGATTTCAGAGAAAAATTAAACTGGTGGTCATCTTCCCATCTGATCTGTAAGGGGGCTGAAATGAAACAGGCATTGGTAGTGAAGCCCTCCCAAAGTTATCTGGCTGAGATCCTGTTCTCGATAAAGTGGACGGCAGCAATTGCTCTGCTGCAAATGAGATCTGAAATCGAAATTCTCTCTCCAACACTGTGGCCAAGCTCCAAAAGCACTGACTTCCAGTAATGTTGTATTGACTCTGGGTCCCAGAACTAATTTAGGAATTGCAGAGAATGCTTAGGCTGCTAGCTGAACTCGTCTTGTGCTTGCTTTTGCTGTTAACTAGGGTCATGAAAGGTCACCCAACTTGGAGACACTTAACTTTTCTGAGCTCCTGTTTCCTTACCTTTCCTTGGAAGCATCCCTCACCAAAATACTGTGTGGATAAAATGAGGCTGTCCTATGAGAACACTTTCTAAAACTTGAAGACATCACTATCTAGAATTGGCTCCATTCTACTCTGTCTCCTCTGTTTCATTGTGCTCTATTTTTTATTTATCACTGTCTGAACTATTTTATATATGTATGATGTTACTAGTATATATAGTTACCTATGCTATACTATAGTGATCTATGTATAGTGATCTATACTGTATTATACTGTGTGTGCACTCAGTCATGCACATCTCCTTGTGACTCCATGGACTATAGCCCACCAGGTTCCTCTGACCATGGAATTCTCTAGGCAAGAATATTGGAGTTGAGTGCCATTTCCTACTCCACGGGATCTCCACAACCCAGCGATCAAACCCACATCTCTTGCATTTCCTGAATTGGCAGGCAGATTCTTTATCAGTAGTGCCACCTGTATTGGATACAATATATATATTGTATGAAATATATAATTACATATAGCTAATGTATATATATATATGTTATATCTATCTATCTATCTATATATAAGTTGCTTGTGTTTTGTCAGTCTCTTTCTTTAGAATGGAAGCTCCATGAGGACTTTTTTGTTCGCCATGCATGCCTAACCCCCTGGAATAGTGCCTGGCACATAGTAGGTCTTCAGATATTTGAAGACTGAATGATTTATATTATTGCTATTCACCAAGAACACTATGAATCATTTGAAATATGGGAGTTTGTTTAACCCATATGGTCACCATATGAAATTGGCATTTTACCCACTTTCCATTAGCCCACTTTCCATTAGCCCACTTGCCAAGTAAGGATAAACTTGAGGTACCAGTGGAAACCAGTTGTATTTTCACTGGCTTTGAAGAGTTGCCTTCAGAGTTCTCTGTCCATCCTTCCTGTTCTGCCCTCTGATAATCTCGCAGGGAAATCCTGCATCCGACCATGGCATCAGGCCATGATAAGCCGTCATATCAGCCCTGGATGGATTATTAAAACTCATTCTCAGCTATGAAAAAGCCCGTGCATGCATGCTAAGTCACTTCAGTTTTGTCTGACTCTTGGCAACCCTATGGACAGCAGCCTCCAGGCTCCTCTGTCCACAGGATTCTCCAGGCAAGAATACTGGAGTGGGTTGCAATGCCCTCCTCCAGGGCATCTTCCCAACCCAGGGATCAAACCCAAGTCTCTTCTCCTGCATTGATAGGTGGGTTCTTTACCATTAGCGCCCACCTGGGCTCTCTCCAATTTAAAACTTCCATCTGACCTCCATGGAAGTAAGAGTCTCCCCCTCTCTATGCCTCAGAGATTGCTCTGTGCAAGGGGAGGGGGAGTTTTTTGCTTTCCTCTTCTGACTCCTCCAGGGTTGGAGGAGGGGTCAGTGGGGCAGGGTGGCCAGAGGAAAGCAGCGGGAGTCACTTCGCCCAGTCGGTGCTCTCCGAAGGCTCCTCCCAGCTACCAGGGTGCTCTGCTTGGATCGCCATCCATGTGCTGTGGGCAGGCGTCCGGCAGTGTGTTTGCGGGCACCTCCTGTGGGTCCCCCTCCACTGGCTGCGGGGCGGTGCTCTCCAGCTGACCTCCACTGCCCAGCACTCTTGCTCCACCCCTGAGGATTCACCCTGTGGCTCTGGCCTCATGCTGGAGGCCATGCGCATCTCGAGTTGCACTCTTATTCTCAGAGGCACCCGGATGAGTTCCCACAAGTGTAATGAGTGTGGGACAGGCCAGACGTGCAAACAGAAAATGGCTTGGCTTTGCTTCTCAACTGTGTTCTAGCCAAACTGCCTTCCTGGACCCCTGATGGTTTTGTGGCAGGTTGAATAGCTTTTTGGTTATCGACTGAAAAAACAAGCCTCTTTTCAATAATGTAGATGCTCTTGTAGACACGAAAGTCCAGTCCAGTGCTCCAGTTAAAACTGCAGTCTCTCATTTACTTCAGGACTCCTTCCCCCCAACCCCACCCCATGAGTGGCCAGTTGATGGGGGCTAGAAACCTGAAGTGGGGGCAGGGGAGGGGAATGGTCTGACCTTCCGCTCGTCCCTGACCTTTCTTCCTGCTGCTGGTGCCTCCAGTCTTGCCAGGGTGAGAAAAAACACTTCTAAAGGGATAGCCCTAGTGCTCCATCAGAGGCAGGGAAATAAATATTTAGAGAACAACAGAACTGTCAATTGAAACAAATGCAAGGTAATAGGGCTCAGAATTGGCCTATACCTGACATCATACTCAGTCAAATTACCCAATCTTATTAAAGACAATTCTTTTTAACAGATATTAGAAGTATCTGGCTGGGGGTATGTTAGTTGCGGAGTCGTGTCTGACTCTTTGCAATCATGTCCGACTGTAGCCCGCCAGGCTCTTCTGTCCACATGGAATTCTCCAGGCAAGAATACTGGAGTGAGTTGTCATTCTCTTCTCCAGGGGATCTTCCCAACCCAGGGATCAAACCTGGGTCTCCTGCATAGCAGGCAGATTCATTATCACTGAGCCACCAGGGAAGCCCTAGAAGTGTCTAGCAATGTATAATTATAAATACAGCCGTCACGGATGTTTAATGAAATTAATAAAATAGCAAACAGTTACATCAGTTCAGTTCAGTCACTCATTTGTGTCTGACTCTTTGTGACCCCATGGACTGCAGCATGCCAGACCTCCCTGTCCATCACCAACTCCCGGAGTTTACTCAGACTCAATTCCACCGAGTCAGTAATGCCATCCAACCATCTCATCCTCTGTTGTCCCCTTCTCCTCCCGCCTTCAATCTTTGCCAGCATCAGGGTCTTTTCAAATTAGTCACTTCTTCGCATCAGGTGGTCAAAGTATTGGAGTTCCAGCTTCAGCATCAGTCCTTCCAATGAATATTCAGGACTAATTTCCTTTACAATTGAGTGGTTGGATCTCCTTGCTGTCTAAGGGACTCTCAAGAGTCTTTTCCAATACCACAGTTCAAAAGCATCAATTATTCAGCACTTAGCTTACTTTATGGTCCAACTCTCATATCCATACATGACTACTGGAAAAACCATAGCTTTGACTACATGGACCTTTGTGGGCAAAGTAATGTCTCTGCTTTTTAATATGCTGTCTAGGTTGGTCATAGCTTTTCTTCCAAGGAGCAAGCGTCTTTTAATTGCATGGGTGCATCAGTGATTTTGGAGCACCCCCCCCCCCCAATAAAG